GGTCTTGCCATGCGGCAGGTCCTGGTTGGCCAGGGCTGCTGACTGGGCCGCTGACGTGGCTGCTGACGTGGCGCTGACGGGGGCACAATTTTTCTAAATTGCGTTTTGACCCACGATTTCCGATTTTCTTTTCAAAAATACCTCCAGAATCCTAATTTGCACCCTTTTTTTCCCAAAATCAATTTCAATTAAATCCAAATAATATTTTTACCCAATTTTACAATTATTATTATTTTTATTATTATATTAAATTAAATTAAAATAAACAAAATAAAATAAAATAAATAAAAATAAAATTAATAATTGTAATAAAAATAATTTAAAATTATTTGGGCGTTACAGATTAGATTTAAGTTTATCATTATTTTTGCTCAATGAATTCAGAGTTGCCATGAAGTTAAGTTTTAAACAGCCTGCAATGCGGTTGTAAGTTTTCTCTAGAAGTTGAAATTCCTTGCAGAGGTAGTTTATTTAAGAAGCCAATTTATTAGTAAGAAAATTATTTTTCATATTATTATTAATTCAGTATTATGTCTTGCTTAGGATTCAATTTTTGTTTTTAACCTATCATGCAATGTCCAATTATAAATATATTTTTTTAATTTTAATTTAGTGTAAAAATAAAGAAAATATGATGGAGGATGAAAGTGAAAACAATTTTAGAAAAAAAAAAGTAAAAATTTGAGTTATGGAGATATTTTTTGAAAGAAAAATTAGAAATCGAAAGTCAAAATACAATTTAGAAAAGATTTGCCATGTAGGATGCTCGGTCAGCAGTCCCGACGAATTAGGACGCGTCGCGTAGTAATGGATGCTGATGCGGTGCCATGCGGGCGATCCGCGTGCTCGCGATCGAACGACCCAGATTTGTTCCTCCGCGCACGGATGGCCTGGATGCGTTCTCCTCCCAAATGCAATCAGACGGCCAGATTTGAACGCGATCAAACGATTAAGATTAGATCGCAATGAATGGTCCAGATTAGATCGCGATGAACGATCTAGATTAACTCTCTATTTAATCGCGATCGGACGGTACATATTAAATGCGATGGACGGCTCAAATTAAATGAGAACGGATATAAATAACCTCATTCACACCAAACCCTAACCCTAGCCGCCAGCCACTCTAGCCGGAGAAGAAAACCCAACCGCCAGAAAGGAGAGCCGCCATC